AACTAACGACCTACTCTATCATGTCTATAGACATTACATGAACACAAAATCATACCCACATTAAATCGGGTCAGCTTAGTCTATTACAGTGTAGTATAACATTTCATACAGCAGTCGATATTAGAGCATGAAATTTAATGATTCTGTATCAATAGATAAGTTACCTAAGCTTGTCTTCAGGGTATTTTTTTTTATTACGGTACATAATTATAATCATTGAATTACTTGTCTGTATTATATCTTCAATCTAAGAGTGAGTGCAACCACATTGTGTGTCCGGTCCAACAAATATTTTGTTCCTTATCTGAGAAACTACTTTACAAAAAGACTTCGTATTTGGTCAGTAACTTAACATCAATTAGTTGCAACTCTGGTCTGTCAAATACCTAATTCCTGTGTGACGATTTTACTCTCTCAATATGTACATAGAGGTATGCTTAGCACATCAACGCATGCGTTTTTGTTTTTGGTCTATAATACGGGGCTTAAAACTGAGTCATTTTAACTGACAATTCTTCTTCATACACTTATATATTCCACGGGTTAAATTCTAAAATGCGGATAAACTCTTTAATGTACCTTTTCAAAGTCAGGAACAGTAAGATGCGCAGTCATTATATTTTGTCATTTTGTTGATAGTCTCTGTTTAATTTATCCGTACAATTCTCATTACGATTTAGAGTTAGCCAAATGGTGAAGTTACTATATAGATTACTTATGTTGGTTTTTTTTTTTGTGTAGTTGGGTTTCTCTCTCATCGACGTCTTATGTTTTTCATATCTCATTCATTTCCTATATGAAATAACAGACATGCAAAATTAAGAATGTGGATTTGATTTTTTTCCCATTCGAAGTTAATATTGTTGACTTCCTTATTAATGAATAAATATAACAATTCTCGTGATTTGGCCGATTTTCATTGCAGGTACTTTTTTCAAATTCGCGCAATCGGGATAATGACGTCAGTGGATTTCCACAAATGTGACTACATCTAAAGCAACGTCGCGAAATGTAATCGTTCTTATCAGAAACATCGCGAAATTACAACATTCTGATTAACAACGACGCGAAAACAACACGAAAAGTTTTGAAAACGTTATTATCTGCCCCTGCTACTGTATCGTATGCCCTTGAAAATGCCAGTGGTGGATCCAGAAATTTTCATGCCCCCACTGACTGACATAAGAGGGACCCGCTTAGTCATGCTTCAGTGATTCCCTAAATAATCAACCAAATTTTTCCCACAAAAAGGGGGGGGGGGGGCAGACACCCCCCCCCCCCCTTTCCAAATCCGCCTCTGAATGCTATAAATAAAAAAGTCTGCCAAACTGTTGCATCGTCTTTAGCATCTAAACAATGTGACGTCATATGTATACTCCGGATGTCAAATATGAACACTAGACATACATGTATATATACTTTTGTATGCTTCTGATAATTTCAATGTTGACAAAAACAAGATTTTGAGGCTTTTTTTGAGAAATTACATTCCAAACAAAAATCAGATTTCAAAATGGTGGCTTTCTTAGTTACAGATTGATTCAGTCGGAAAGCTGACCCCGGTTTGACCCCATTTCTTAAAGCAGCAATGGAAGTCATGTGACTACCATATTTTGGATCATTTTTTCTTCAACTGAAACGACTCTGTTTCCTCCAAAAAGTCATATCAAATGAAACCAAAGCATGCTGTACGTTACAAATGCCAATTGTGTATACTTTTTAGAAGTTCTCACATAAAAATTGTTTTGATTAAGCGTACTGAATTAGAATACGAAGCCTTCAAACCAAAGGTCGTCACTCGTCGCGTCAAGTTTTTTCAACACATCAGTTGAAATTTCTTTCTTAACTTCTGGGGAACCTATGCTAAATTTAAAATATGTGATGAGGCTTTTTATAAACTGGCCCGCGTCAAATTTGTGCCACTTAATACGCTGTAATACGTAAATGTGCCAGTTCGATGTGTCGATATTTCTGACGAAGCGGTGCCGATAGTAATTTACGAATTACGTCCCTGTGTTGACACTTTTCATGAACAAACCTATAAGGTACTATTATTCTGGATCACGTTATCAATTGTATTTGCTACGTCATCTATTGGATTGAATTTTCAGACATTCATATTTTCCGGAAATGATCTGGACTTATCCGTATGTTAACTACCGTTTACTTTCTCTTCCTCGCCTGTATATTACAAATGGATGTCACGACAAAACTGCTCCTGTGGATATTGTGACAAATCACCGTCAAGTACGTTTCAAATCAATTATAAACTGTTAAATATATATTCCGTTAATTCCGTTAACTTGACAAACACGTTTATTCAACAAATATGAACTGTAATTGTTTATTTCTATGAATTGAACTGAGAATTCTACTTTCGTTTTTGACTTGATATTAATATTGCCTTGAACGTTCATATATTTCTTTCGTGCATATTGTAAAATATTGTATTTTTATTTCTTTCAGTTTACCAAACAATACACACTCTGTAAAAACTCCTGTATCCCTTCTGGTGGAATTATAATCTACAATCTTCACACACAAGTTGTCATTCTTTATAATTTGCCGAGATTGCGATACAATCACATGGTTATACTAGCTGAGTCAGGCTCAGCATAGTAAATTGATGACAACCTGTCTTTACATATCCAGACAAAGAACGACAACGTAGCAACGTACATACCTTTACCCTGACAGTGGACTACATAACTTGTGTGTACTAGGCAGCAACCCAACAACAGCCATCATGGATCCCAGTCACGTGGAACAGCAAGACGAGGTTCAACCCCCAGAGGGAGATATTTCTGAAGAACTATTAGAAAATCCATCTAATACCACACATTTAGATGATAATCCCGAGACTAGGCGAGTACGTGATCTCATCGAAAAAGGACACGAAGCATTCGCAGAGAAACGTGACAAGTTCTGTCAGGAGCTAGAGGCCCTTTGGTCAGGTTTAGAATTCCAGTTATTGGAAATGACCACTCCTCCAAACGAGCTCCAACAACTGCTTACAGCAGAGGACAAAATCGTACAAGCCTGTACTCATTATCGCAAGCGCATAGATGAGTACCTGAACTTTTTGAAGAAGACCAGAACGCCGGAAAGTCTAAAGAACATAGACATATGTAATCAGTCATCAGAAATTCGACTGTCTAAAGTGGACCTGGCTCTGACAAAGGCTAAATCCACCAAAACAAAAACATCCAAGGGTAAGAAAACCTCGAATAGCGGAAGCTCCAACGTCTCCGATATGTCAAGCCTGGCACGGAGGAAGCGTGTCAAAGCAGAGGCTGCTAAGTCAAAAATAGCCTTTGCCGAAAAACATGCCTTGATCATTAAACAGGAGGCATTATTAGAGGAACAGGCTCTATTCAGACAAACTGAAATCAAATCCAAAATGGAGCAACAAGCCGTTCAAGCAGAACAAGAAGCCATTCGCAGAAAAGCTCAACTAGAACAAGAGGCTGCACGTGTACGCCGGGAAAAGGCTGAACTAAAGGCCAATTTGAACCTTCTCGAAGCACAGAAAGAAGCTGCAGCCGCAGAAGCCGAGGCTCGTATCCTGGAATACGATGGCAGCCAAGCATTTAGCCACCTCCCTGACGAAACAGAAGACCCGCTCCAGCGTGTGAAAGATTTCGTCAATAAGTATCCTGTACCAACTGCTGTACGGGAAGTAACAGGACCTCAAAAGATAAAGCAAATTCCATTTAAGATTGAGCTGAGTCATGAAGCACCAGCGTTCGTGCCATCCGTGGCACTGAACTTGCCGTCACAGACATCTGCTGTCTTGCCTTCCGATACTAAGTCACCGGAAGTTACCTTTATCCCAGATCTGAGAATAGTAACCGGCATACAAAAACTAGGCACTTCAGATGAGATCCCTGCTGAACACCAAAAACAGGGTGTTAAAGAAGAGATCCCTGTTGCACACCAGCAACAAATCAACCCTACATCGGAGATAACTAGATTTCTCTTGCGTAAGGACCTGCTTTTCTCCCGACTTACAAGCTTTAACGATCGGGCAGAATCCTTTCATACATGGAAAGCAAGTTTTAAGAACGTGACTGACGAGTTGCAAGTCTCTGACTCGGAACAGATTGATTTACTGATCAAGTGGCTCGGTCCAGAGTCTGCTAAACATGCCATTAGCATAAGAGCGTCGAACGCCAATAATCCTACAAAAGGTATACAAAGACTATGGAAGAGGCTTGACGAGCGGTATGGTGCTCCAGAAATGTTGGAGTCCTCACTCACGAGTAAACTTGCCAAATTCCCAACCTTGACGAATAAGGACAACGCACGTCTCAATGAACTGTCTGACATTCTATCAGAAATAGAATATCACAAGGAAAATCCCAAGCTGGGATGTCTGCTAGCTTATTTTGATTCACCGTCCGGAATAAACCCTGTCATTGAAAAACTACCATATGGACTTCAGGAAAAGTGGATTACAAGGACGTCTAGATACAAATCTAACCACGGCGTTGCCTTTCCTCCTTTTACAGAGTTATCTGCATTCATCAGTGAAATCAGCAGAATTAAAAACGATCCTGGATTCATCTTTGGGTCAAAAGTCAAACCAAATACAAAAGGTGCTGCGCCAAGGTTCACGTCTTACCCCAAGACTAAAGTTGGTACTCATAAAACAGCGGTTGAGCAGCAATCTGGAGACGCCAGGAAAACAAGGTCTTTGTATTCTGCACAATACAAAGCATTCCTCAAATGAATGTCGAGCGTTCCGAGCCAAATCAATAGAGGAACGCAAAGGTCTTTTGAAAGAAAACAATGTCTGTTACAAGTGTTGTGATTCTACCAAACACAGGAGCCGGGAATGCAATGCACGCATAAGTTGTAAAGAATGTGGAAGTAAACGACACACTACCGCACTTCACATAACTAGACCACAGAAACCTGAAAGTTCTCAGTCTAGCTCGCCCAAGGAAGCCTACGACGACCTTATCAACATGCTCCGGCAGAGTAGTCACTTTCGGGAAAAGAGGAAGAGGTTTCGTCATGGAATCAATAAATGGCAATGACAAATTTAACCTGCCTGTACTGATAGAATGTGATCATATTCCTAATAATAGGGACGAAATACCGACTCCTGAAGTCACAATGCATCACCCTCATTTAAAAGAACTCAGAGGTAGCATTCCACCAATAGAGGAAAATTGACAAATTCTTCTCTTAATTGGCAGAGACCTTATAGAGGCACACCACGTCCTGGATCAGTGCCTAGGACCACCCAGAACTCCATATGCACAACAGTTGAAACTGGGTTGGGTAGTGATAGGAGAAACTTGCATTAACAAGCAGCATGTGCCTCTTGAATTAAATGTCAAAATAACCAACATTTTACCTACAGGACAACCGTCAATGTTTCAACCATGTAAATTCGACATTCGGGAAAACTACACAGACCCCGTTAAGAAAGATTTACAATCGCCTCTCTTTGAAAAAACTAGGGACGATGATAAACCCGGAATGTCATTTGAAGACAAAATGTTCATTAAACAGATGGACAACGAATTTGTCAAGAGACTCGGAAGGAAGTTGGGTAGCACCGTTACCGTTCCGAGTGCCAAGACAGTCTTTGCCTAGCAACAGACCACAAGCTCTTCATCGTGCTAATATGTTAGACGCAAGCCTGAATAGAAACCTAGTAAAACGGGAACACTTCCTCACATTTATGAGTAAGATCCTAGACAATAATCATGCAGAGCTCGCTCCACCGTTGGACGAACATGAAGAGTGCTGGTATTTACCATTGTTTGGTGTTTATCACCCGAAGAAACCCGATCAGATTAGGGATGTGTTTGATTCATCCGCCAAATGTAACGGAGTTTCACTCAACAGCGTCCTGCTGACAGGTCCAGACTTGACCAATGATCTCTTGTGAGTACTGCTGCGTTTCAGGAAAGAAATGGTCGCAGTAACGGCAGACGTTCAACACATGTTTCACTGCTTTGTAGTAAGAAAAGACCACCGAAATTATCTGAGATTTTTATGGCATAAAAACAACGACCTACAAGAGAACCTTGTCGAATTCCGCATGAGAGTTCATGTTTTTGGAAATAGTCCGTCACCTGCCGTTGCTACGCTTGGACTCAGAAAAGCAGCTCAGGCATCAGAACAAGAGTTCGGCAGTCACGTGACTAGCTTTGTTACAAGAGACTTCTATGTCGACGACGGTCTTACATCATGTCCTACAAAAGAGGAAGCTGTTAAGCTCATGAAGGACACACAGCAAGCATTGGCAAAGTATGGAAACTTACGGCTTCACAAGTTCGCCTCTAATTGTGCGGAAGTTATGTCTGCGTTTCATGCCAGTGATTTGGCTTCAAATCTGAAGGATCTAGACTTAGAATCCGACAGCAAACCCCTACAACGTAGTCCTGGGCTCAGCTGGGACGTAAACACTGACAACTTCTTATTTCAATTATCATCAGAAAACAAACCGATCACTCGGAGAGGAATTTTATCAACGATAAACAGTCTCTACGATCCTCTGGGATTTTTGGCTCCGGTGATTATACAAGGGAAACTCCTATTATGGAAAATAGTATCAGAAACCGTTGATTGGGACCAACCTCTCTCTGATGAGACAGCAGCTGAGTGGAAATCTTGGAGAGATACTCTAATTGCTATCGAAACATTGCGCATTCCACGTACCTACGTGCCGTATCTCAGCAAAACCGCAACAAAGGAGTTACATGTCTTCTCTGATGCATCAGAAAAAGCCATAGCAGCTGTTGCATATCTACGCACGACCGACAGTAGTGGTGAACCAAACAGGTTTCATTCTTGGGAAAGCCAAAGTTGCAACAACAATTGGTCATACTATTCCACGACTTGAACTATCAGCTGCTGTATTATCACCCAAACCGTCATGGATAATTTAGATTTACATATAGACACCGTAAAATTCTACACAGACAGTAAAGTGGTTCTAGGTTACATCAGTAACGAGACAAGAAGGTTCTTTATCTACGTCGCCAATAGTGTAGAGAAAAAAAGGAAATTTAGCTCTCCAAGTCAATGGAATTATGTACCAACTAACCGTAATCCCGCAGACTCGGGAACAAGGTCCGTACCAGCCCATGAAATTCATAGCATCAGAACAGAAGAATTCTGAGGACATATATCAGCTTATAGATCCAGAAGATGATGGAGAAATCCGTGCAACTGTGAATGTTGCAAAAACATTTGCCACACCTGAGCATAAAGGTATCAGAACTGATAGATTCAACCGATTCTCCAACTGGACATCACTTGTGCGAGCGATAGCCTTTTTGGAACGTTTCTCCCGTTTACACGGGTCAAAACAGGCATCATCAGTGACTTCTTTGGATAGTTTTTCGAATGCCGAAAATTTCATCTTAACATCTGCACAACATGAAGTTTATGGAGATGAAATAGATTGTATAAAACGTCAGGAACAAATTAATAAGCGGAGCCCGATAGCTAACCTAAATCCGTTTTTAAAAAGAAACCATTGATCGTCCCTGGACGCCATCATATAGCGACGTTATTAGTTCGACACTACCACGACAAGATAAAACATCAAGGTCGCCATTTCACAGATGGAGCGATTCGATCCGCAGGATTCTGGATCGTCGGAGCAAAACGCTTGATCTCTTCTATTATTCACAAATGTGTAACATGCCGTAAACTCAGAGGAAAAACCGAGTATCAAATCATGTCTGATTTGCCAGAGGACCGTCTTGAACCGTCACCTCCGTTTACTAACGTTGGAATAGACACCTTTGGACCCTAGACAATTGTTTCACGTAAAACACGTGGTGGATACGCCAACTCTAAACGTTGGGCAATTTTATTCACATGTTTAGTGACAAGAGCTATTCACATCGAATTAATCGAAGAAATGAGTTCTTCAGCCTTCATAAACGCCGTCAGGAGATTCGCCGCTATAAGAGGCCAAGTTAAGATTTTCCGATCTGACCGTGGAACGAACTTTATTGGCGCAATCGACGATTTAAAGATTGACTCAATCAACGTTGAAGATGGACCCTTCAAGAACTTTCTGTATAATTCTGGTACAACTTGGATCTTCAATCCGCCGCATTCGTCCCACATGGGTGGAGCCTGGGAGAGGATGGTTGGTATTACCAGGAGAATTCTTGATTCTATGCTTCTAAACGCAGCCGGAAGAAGCCTAACACATGATGTGCTCAACACACTAATGGCAGAAGTTTCAGCAATAGTGAACTCTAGACCTCTGGTACCGGTATCAACAGATCCAGAGAATCCGTTAATATTAACTCCGGCTATGTTATTGACACAGAAAACCGACTACATTTTCACTTCAGATCATCTTGGAGAATTCGACAAACGAGATCTCTGTCTTGCCGAATGGAGGCGAGTACAGGCTCATCGAAGGAGACGTCATTCTTCTAAAGGATAAAAACCTTTGCCGTACCCAATGGCCCGTTGGAGTTATAGTGAATTCATTTAAAAGTTCAGATTACAGAACATGTCCGAAAAGCAGAAGTGCGAGTAATCGTTAATGGAAAAGCCACAACCTACACACGTCCTATCGTGGACATGATTCTTCTCGTAGAGAACAACCCTATGTAATTATGTGTATATATATATATATATATTGGATTTAGATAGGACATTCACATGTGTTATATTTTATGGAATAGTGATATCAGATAGATTTCAGACGGGGAGTAATCTGTATCACGTTATCAATTGTATTTGCTACGGCATCTATTGGATTGAATTTTCAGACATTCATATTTTCCGGAAATGATCTGGACTTATCCGTATGTTCACTACCGTTTACTTTCTCTTCCTCGCCTGTCTATTACAAATGGATGCCACGACAAAACTGCTCCTGTGGATATTGTGACAAATCACCGTCAAGTACGTTTCAAATCAATTATAAACTGTTACATATATATTCCGTTAATTCCGTTAACTTGACAAACACGTTTATTCAACAAATATGAACTGTAATTGTTTATTTCTATGAATTGAACTGAGAATTCTACTTCCGTTTTTGACTTGATATTAATATTGCCTTGAACGTTCATATATTTCTTTCGTGCATATTGTAAAATATTGTATTTTTATTTCTTTCAGTTTACCAAACAATACACACTCTGTAAAAACTCCTGTATCCCTTCTGGTGGAATTGTAATCTACAATCTTCACACACAATTTGTTATTCTTTATAATTTGCCGAGATTGCGATACAATCACATGGTTATACTAGCTGAGTCAGGCTCAGCATAACTATCAAGCACCATATGCTGTTATTTACAAGTAGATGTTATTAAAATAATTTATTGTCTTTTTACTAAATATATATTGATTTTAAAGACATATGTAAAACAATTAGGTAAACACGTTTTATCATTTTTACAACAATTTCAGTACTGAAATAGGGCTTTAATATTACAGTACAGTATATGTTATTCTGTGCCATAATATATTATTCCAAGAGTAATTTAATATTTATATTTTGGTAAATATTTTTACTGCTTTAACCAAATTATATAAACACAGAAATAAATTTCTACTACATATTTTATTTTTTGCAAAACATGAAACCCTGGCGGGTTAAAATGCAAACATAGTACATTATATACACAAGTGACAAGAAACATAATACATGATAAATATTTTAAACAAGTCAAGTTCATATTAGTAATATATATATATATATATATATAATAATTGACCAATGTGGACCTTATTTTCGCAATTCCATAGATTGTTTTATATAGTCTACAACACTAGACAAAATATCTTTATTGGGATCTAGAATAGTTTTAAGTTTAGAGTTTGAGTCAAGCTGGTTAAAATTAGGATAATGGGTTTTAATTGCATTTATAAGGGAATGTCTTACATTACTGTTAATTTGGCAATGAAGGAAAAGGTGTTCCTCATCATCTAAAATTTTACAAACTTTGCACAGTCTGTGTTCTCTTTGAATTTTTTTATAACGTCCTAATTCAATTTCCAAATTATGATCACTTACACGTAATTTTGTTAAAAGTTGACGACTATTAAAATTGTTTAGATTGTGCAAGTAGTCCTCCAATTTAATTTCATTTTTAAGTTTACTATAAAGATAAAGTTTTGAACTGTTTTCAATATTTGAAAGTTTTTCAAGAGTGATGTTATTATACTTTTCCTTCACAATATGTTTAAAAGTTTTTTTGAGTGAATTTTTTATAAGTTCAAGACTTATTTACTGCAAAAGCTTCTTTAACAAGAGGGTTTATTTCATGGCAGTTTATTCTACAAAAATATAATAAAACTTGAGTTTTAATAAAGGAGTCAAGCGGAAATCGTCCTAACTCAGACTTTGCAGCTATATTACATGAGGTTTTTTTAATTCCAAGAACAGTTTTACAAAATTTATAATGCACTTTCTCAAAGCTGAATCTATCTGTCAATGATAAAATATCACAGTTAGTTCCATGCAAAGTGGCTCTATTTATGGCTCTAAAAATTGAGTAATAATCTTCCATAAACCAGATCTCGCTATTATATAAAATTATGGGTTTAATTAGTGAATCAAATAATTTACATGATAAATCAACAGGGACATGATGAAAATTAGACATATATTGTTTAATGAAAATAACGCTTTAAGCGCTTTCTTGGATAGTTCATGTGTAGATCTCTTAAATTTTCCTTTATTATCAATAATGTTCCCAAGAAAATTATACTCTTTAAATTCAGTTAACTGATTTTGTTTATAAAAGAAATTTTCACTCAAAAGAATTTCTAGAATGAAAAATCATAATTTTTGTTTTACTTGTATTTACAGTCAGTTGCCATTTGTAGCAATATTTTTCCAGTTTATTCAAAGCAGATTGTAAACCGTTTTGTGATTTTGATAATATTAAAAGATCATCAGCAAAACTAAGACTACTTATTGATGTTTTATCTTAGGACACAGGATCACATGTCCCATCAAAATTGAATGGAGATCATTAATAAAACAATTAAACAATGTGGGGCTCAAACTGTCCCCTTGTTTGACCCCTTTATTTATTTCAAAAAATTCAGATTGTTTATTATCTATTTTAACTGAAGATTCACAATACTTATATATATCTTTAATTACTTCAAATATTTTCTTTCCAACATCATCAAGACAAGGGGTAGCCAAAATATACTTGAATACTTGACCTATTAAAAGTACTTCATAGCAGTTTCTGAGTGCTAAGTCAACAATTATGTTTTAGATCACAAGTCATGAGTAAGTCACACTTAATGTAAGTATGAAAATGCTTTGAATAAGAGTGATTAAAATGCAAGTCTGAGAGAGATTGTTTAAGTTCAAAGGACAACCCTTTTACAGGATTCCTTGATCATCACCAAAAAAAAAAGATATTCCCAACAATGAATGGTTTTTTTTTTAATCATCTTAAGGTTGTGCACAGACAGTATAAAATTTCCTTACCTTATTGTTTTAGTTAACGTCAAACATTTCACTTAAAGAGAAAAATTAATCCAGTCAAATTTACAGCTGAACTCGCCATAGCTTTTTTAAACAAACACACTAAATGACATTAAATGTGTGTACATTCTGTTCAGATGCATGTTGACATCGATGTGTTAAACCAAAAAACTACAATGTCAAAAAATGTCTTTCTTTTGGAATTTAGTTCAAACGGGGTTTCCTAAGGGGTGACAGAACGTTAGACTTGATTTTTTTTAAACTTTGAGATACGTATTATTAATTTGTTTTATAGTATAGATCTATATTATCTTTGTTTATCTGTGAAAAAAGAAGAAAAAATAACTGACAATTTCGAACAATTTATTAACGTAATTGTTAAAGGAGGGCCAATTTAGGTATTATTTTCTTTAATAATAAGACACATGCTTAAAATATAGAAAGAAATCTATTTCTGACCCCAATGGCATGTTAGAAATAGAAAATTTTAAAAAAATCCAAATTGCCGCCAAAATATTTTTTCCGCGAAACTAACGCATTTTCAGAATGGCGGGCTTTAATATCAGTCCATTGTTGTCTTCAGAAAGTAGCAACAACGGTCGTTTCTAAGGGCTTGCTTTCCGACTGAGAATGTGGAATCTTAGACTGGTACCCGCCCGTTATTGAAATTCTTGACAATACCGTCCGGTATGGGCTAATTTTACTTTTTCAAATGGCCAATATCCGAGCATGCGCATTCACCCTGATCGTTTAAATTCTTCGCTTCAAAGATGTGAGAGCACGACAGAAAGCCTTTGAACTGTTGACTGAAGTAATTTTGAGTTGCCCAAATTGAAAATAAGACACTTACAATCTTCTAAACGATTTCATTCAGTCTTTGAATATGAAAATTCAATATTCTCAGATGGGCAAGCTTTTGAAGTGGTCAATTTGTCCGTTGTTTATGTTTAACGGTGTAACCCCAGCTGCAATTATACAGATAGGAGAGGAAACGAACAATATTAACTATTAATTATCATTATGTTTTCGTTTTTTTAACTTTTGGTCATGTATGGAAATGTATAAATTTGCTACTTTAAAGGAAAATGAGTTGAAATACATTTTGCAATCGTACTGATATCTCTTTCCCTGTAGTCCTGATGTGTTTTCAAGAATTTCTTGCAATCACCTCCAGCCCACTATTTTGTTTTGCTATTTTATTGGTATGAATATTGGGTTACAATTGGGTAGTGTTGTGCTTGTACAATTATGTCCTCAGACGATGGGTTTCGTCTGATCTACTTGGAGTCAAAATAACTAAGACATAAATTGACATCATGGAAGGAGCCAAAGCAAAAAAATTAAATAGATCTTCAAGGTGTCATAATTATTTGGACTTAGGGTTCATCAAGTATTTCATAAAAGTCAGTGAGAACCGTTCTAATCCATAGGCTGACAATCATAATTATGATTGTTCCCAAAATTCTACTGCCAAAAACAAATCAAATAATTTTACCCTTGCAAATAAAAAAAATTGTTATGAAAAAAAAGACAGCAGGACAGAGGGAATAGGACAGCTAATCTAACCTCTATTTTGGGGCTCTCTTGGATACAGATATAATATAGACCCCAGTTTTATGAGTAATCCGAAATGTGAAATTACTTGGAAGAGAAAAACAAAAGCCTGACATATAATGCACATTAATTTTAAACATTACACTATATGTGTTCATTGTGTCCTGATCAGGATACAATCATGACTCTGTTATATAAACTATCACAATTGAACAGTAAAAATTTTTCAAGAATTTATTATCACTTCTAAAGTTAAGTTAAAGAATAAAAACCAACAGAATGAAAAAGGCTGTGACTACCATCACTTGACAATTAAACAAAATTTCCATTTTCCTCCAAATCATCAATCTGTGATTATCATTGCATCTTCTGGGTGTAACATTCACCAAGGTCAATGTTAGCTTAATACCCAGTCCCCAATCATGTATATCAAATAACTGAAAATGCCAAATGTGCAATCTACTGTAATAATTACATTAACTTCATGCAGGCAATGAAAACCTTACTTCTTTATTTCTTTTACCTTTGAAAGTTTTTACAATGACACTAGGCTAAACACAACTTAAACATGAAAACAATAATACATTTTTGAAAAAATCAAATTTGAACATTATTTTTTCAATACCTGTTGGTTTTTACATTTTGGAGTTGGTAGGTCCTCTAAATATTTAATTATTTCGTCGTCAATTACAATGGCTTTGTCTCCAAATCTTGTTTTTTTGTTCTTGAATAATGCTTGTGAGTCCATTAATAATGACAACAAAAGCATTTTCAACTGTCAGAAATGGAAGAGCCTGTAAACACAAGTTTTCATGTAAGAATGCACTCAAATCTTGAAAGATAAAATAACACTCATAGTCAATTTGGGGATAAGATTTTTTCAGTATTTAACTGAACACACAAATAACAAAACTCTTAATATCCAGAAACGAATTCTCTATTTCTTTTCTATTAATACCGTTGTCTTCTGACATATTGCTGTCATAAAAACAATGTTAATGAATGAAAAAAAAAAAAGAAATCAATTACTAGTAAAAAAACTACTGAGCGTTGAAGCTATCAGTTGTGAAATATTTATTATCAGAACATGTCGATTCCCTATTGAAAATTAAAATGATAGAACTTGAACAAAAAATATTCGGATTGTTTCCTTATTTAAGAATTAATAAACTAAAAGTTTGACAGCATATGAGAGTATCGGCATTTGCCTGTATAATAACGGCTTTGCCGTATCCTGTTGGCAAAACTACAAGTACATCCTTCTTCTTTTGGCATTCTGCTATTGTTGAGGTTTGTTTATCTTTTAAAAATAAATATTTAGTTGTCATTACTGAGTTCATTCTATTTAAAATCAAAGAAACAGACGCAGACGACATTTTTAACTGGTACCGTTTATCGACGTTGACACACCAGGAACCGAAACGTTCAAGTTCAAGGTCATCATTAG